GAGTTCATTTTGGATAAATGCTAGAAATCTAAAAAATGGGCAAAATTAAAAAAAATAATAGATCATTTTGAAGGGAATTTAATGTTTTAAGATAATGTTATATAAAATTTAATTTAAATTTCATTTTTTTTAAATTAAAGAAATGTAAAAAGTGAGCAAAAATCGCAAAGTAAAAAAATTGTGCTCCTAATTTGAGATACCTGAGAAATCGATAGTAAAACGCAAAGTAAAAATATATCAGTATTGCAAATCTTTATTTAATGTTCTTAAATACAAACAAACACAGCCAGGGTGCGCGAAAAATGAGTATGCGATACATTATATTCAGAACTCGTCGTCAGATAGTTGAAATCAAGCATTGCAGAAATAGGCACTCGACATTCTGATTGTCCTTTTTATTATTGTACAATAACATTTATATTTTAGCAATGATTTTCACTATGACATGAGAGCATGAGTTATTTCATATTAGAAATACTCTGGATATCTCATATTACGATTTCCATGCCTTACAATTTTGTGATCAAATCTAATCTTCTGTAATTAAGCAATTCAACATATTCCGTATTCTTCTATTAATACGATTTTACTCTATCACTATATGAAGAATTTATTGTCAAATATTTATTTATTAAATAATAAATAATGTTTAATCTTAATGAAATTTAAAAAGAAAGTCCAAATTTTAAAATATTTTTTTATGATGACTACAGGCATTAATAATGAATTTTCTACTAAACAGTTTTCAACCTAAGAGCAATAAATTCAACCATAGATAGCGTCTACTAGTTTAGCAGAAACACCGTTATCTCATATTAGGCGTCTATCTCATAATATACATATATAATATACATAAATTTGTTTATTATTAAAGACATGTTTAATATATGATATAGTTATATTTTTTCATCATATAATCATTTGTGATTTGTTTGCATTATAACTGATGTATATTTTTTCATCATATAATCATTTGTGATTTGTTTGCATTATAACTGATGTATTATTATGTTTATACAGGATATTTCATAAAATGTGGGCCCCTAATACTGGATTAATGTGAATGTAATGTCTTTTCCTAAATTTAAATGACGGAGAGAAGGTTTCTTGTTAAAAAGTTATTAAAATAAAATCGTTTCCTAAATATCCAAGAATTGTCAGTATTTATGACTAATCACGAAATTGAGTTTCAAATGCTGGATAGATCTGCGTTCTCCGGCTTGTTTTCGCCGGCAATTAAAAACTAAACAAACTTCCGGAAATTTCTCATCACACTAACATTAGAGCAATTGGATTCATGATTAATTGACTGTTACAGTTGCTGATGTTCGCAACCATAGGCGCGTTTATGCACGTGGTGGCCGGAAGCTTGATGGTCCATAATTGGCGCCAGATGAATGGTCCTTACTATTATGTGCATAACAACGAGATCCATCCTAGCAAACAGTACATGGATATGCTTGTATCAGCAGCAGTATTTACATTCATAACCGCAGCAGCATTTGTCGCGGAAATTGTCGCCATTATAAGATATGCGTAAATATGTGCGTCTCCGCAAGAAAGTCCGTTGATTCAAGCGAAGGACCTCACGAATATCACCAAAGCTATGGATAGTTTATTATAAAAAGGAATATATGAAAGATTTTAATTTTTTAAAGCCGTATACACACCTAGAGAACGAACAGTGAACGCAAAACTTTGTGTTGTTATTTGTTACATAAAAGTTGCACAAGTTTAATTGCTATGTGCAACGAACATCCAACCTGATCGAATGCTAGTATTCGGTGCAATTAAGAAAAAGAATAAACTGCTCACAAACGCGAATGTCTGACATTCGCGTTCGTTCGCTAGATGTATACACGGCTGAATATTTATTACATAAGCAATTTCATAAAACTTTCTGAAATTTATATGACTATTAATTTATTTGATACTTTAATAGCTGCATTCAGCAAAGAAAACAACTTTGATTGGCGATAAGTGAGGAGCTTAGGGCCCAAAACCAATCGAGAGGGATTCGATAACGCATATCGCTAATCGGTCAATTTAAAATAAAATATTCTTATTGATAGCAGTGAAAAACGGAATTCTTTCGATCAATCATATTAAAGAATATTACAACAATTATACAAAGCTATTACCTGTGCTGAAAGCAGCTATTATTTTATAAAACGAAAAAGATTTAAGAAATTAAAAATTAAAAAATTGTGTATTTATTGAATTGTCACAGTTTTAATATTATCGTTGAGGAAAGATGAGGTACTATCTAAACTTTGAAATTTTCCTATAAAATAAAATTGCCTACCTTAATTTCTAGTTCCTAGTATCTTTGAAATAGTGCTCTTAGATATGAATATAGCGATTCCAATAGTTTTTTCCATTATTTCATAAAATTCGAGTGGAAGTGTTTTAAGCTCCTGTGAATTTGCCAGAATTTCGTCAATAGTGTCAAAACGATGGCCTTTCAATCGAAAGTTTATCTTGGAGAACAAGAAAAAAATCACAGGGAGCACGATCGGGAAGCGAATAGGATGGATGGGCAATCACTTATATTTCTGGAAATAAAAAATTGTCGAATTGAATGATGTATGAAGGGGCGTGTTGTCATGACGGAGAACTCAGTTGTTCTCTTATTTGTCTAAACCTGATGCTCTGTAACCACTTCAAAACTTCACAATAAAACTTCTATTGTGAGTTTGACTAGAAAGGTAAATATCTTATGGATAAGGAGAGCCAAGCAAAATTGTAGGAGGTATTTAAAATATTTACACTTGAAAAAAACATCGATATCGCTGCATTCCATATCCAACTAGTTCGAAGGAAATGATGAAAACTGGAAGTTAAAGTAAATAACTTTTCATAGGCAAATTTCCCAAATTTTTGAATAATATCTCAGTATTAAAATGAATGGTAAAATTTGTTTAAAAACATTAATTTTGTAAAATTATCACATACATATAAAATCATATTAGAAATTAGAATTAGTAATAGTATTATATAATATCTATTATCATTGTAGTAGCATGTAAGATCATGTATATGCGTGTAATTATCGATAGAAAAGATTTATTAGTTATTAGTAAAATTCGTAATTATCGTAGTTATCGTAATTATTTAATAACGAGACCAAACGAGACGCGCAATCTTTGTCGCGATTTTAAAAATATTCTTTGCTATTCGGATGAAAAAAATATCCATCCGCGTACAAATCCGTCCATTTTTGTACCTAAAACATTTATTTCTAGAAAATGTTGCAATAACAAACTTTAAGCTATTTTTAAGCTATTTTTAGAATATAAAATATCTCTTTCTATATATTTTAACTTCTATATATTTTAACTTATCTATTTTTTCTTTATTCGTTTTAAATGAAAATCTTATCTTTATACTATCATATTATACTATCATGAAAATTATATCTTTATACTATCATATGTTAGGCAACATATCTGACAAATTTGAAATTTGCAGCAAAATTAATAAAGCACAAATGCAAATCTATTCATTATAAATTTTTATGCTTTCTTTTTTATCTAAATTCTAATGCTTGTATTTTGTATATTATAAAAATAAAATAAATATAATGATATGATAAGATATGAAAATTAAATCGTTCGTTGAATATCGTTCTTATCTCATTTCTAAATCTAAAAATAAATTTCATCGAAATATGAATTTATTTTTAGATGCTTTGAATATTACAAGCAGGCGCTAAAAGAGATTGATAAAATCGAAATATAAAATATTGATTTGTACAATTTTAATGAAAAATATGTAAAAATGTTTTGAAATCAATAATATGTGAAAATTCTTGGATAAAAGAAAAGATATAAAAAATGTAATAAACTAGAAGAAAGTGTGAAATGTTATTCTTTCTCCATGCTTTTCTTTTTAAAGCAAATTCATAAATAAAAATGGAAGACGAACGTACATGAAGTTAGTTATTCTTTAAAGAAACAAAAATGTGCAAATGTCCTGGTAAATGTCAAAAAGTTTTAAATAGAATTTTTTCTATTCGTATTCGTACATATTATTAATTTATATATAATATCACGTAATATATTATAATATCGCTTAAATATTTGTAAATGATAAAAAGCATAACGGAAGAAAACAAAACGGCGGAGATGCCGAAGAAAAAAGAGATGCCGCAGAATTTGGATCAGCAGAAGCTATCACACAAAACCAGCAGATGCGTATCGACAATAATCAAGCCGTTGAGGATATTTCAATTCGTGCGTATTGAACACCATTATTTCATTCACTGCAATCTTAATATCAAAGAATATCAGAATTAAAATGAACTGATATATCGTTGTATTATAATTTTAATTAAAATTTTCCCTCAAGACAGTTCGCGGTGCTGCTATTGTTCGTAGTCACGATTTATATGATTGTTATGGATCCTACGCCGATAAGCGCTATTGCCTGCATCCTCTTGATTGTCCTATCAGGCATATACATTTTCGTTTTAGCTATCGAGTTAATCAGCCACTTTGCCGGGAGCGCCTTGCACATTATTCCGGTAATTTATGTCGTGCTATTGTGCATTACTATCTATTGAAATCAGAGTTAAAAAACTCGAAACAACTTGAAACTTTCCTTTAAAATTTTAAATGCCTTTCAAGAATATAGATCATTTACTACATATGAATTAAAAACTTGAAAAAGAAATAATCATAATACACGTTATTAATAAAATGTTAATAATAATTTTTTGAATTCTGTATGTAAAATATTTTTATTTCACTAAAAAAAATATTGTTTATCAAATATTATTAATTACAAATATAAATATTTTTCTTTATTAATTACAGATGACCATATTCTCTTTACTTGGCCTATTATTTTTTGCTGTTGCTGGGATTTCCTTGATTTTTAAAGCCTATATACAACTCATAGTGATAATAGTAATAGTATTGTGTCTGTTGGCAGCGTTATTCTTTTTAATCGATATCACGATGGTACTCGCGTGAGTTATTAGTTTAAATTTAAATCTTCGAAGCAGAGACAGGCAGGCTCAATTGAATAAGAATTATAATAAAAGTATACCGTATTTAGATTTTGGAAAAGAAGATGCTCAATCTGCGAACAATGTTGCAGTAATAACATAATGGAACTTCTATTACACAGAGCCAACGAATTAAATAAACTTGAAACCGAAGTGAGTAGTCGTGGAGAAAAGCTCCACAAGTATTAAAAATGAGGACATTCAATATAGATTTTATATAAATTATAGATATTCACAATTTTAGTCTATTAAAATTTAATTAAATTAATAATAAAAACTTTTATTATTCTAATTAATACTAATAATTACTTTTTTAGTATATTAAAGTATAATATAAAATAAGTATATTAAATTTTTTTATTTAATTAAATTAAAAAATCAATTACAAGTAGGAATACATTTGTAAACTGATGAAGATTTTTAATAATCTAATTAAATAGTTCCATTCTCACGTTCAAGCATTTACGAAATTACTTAATTTTTCAGAAGCAATGACTCTAACGGATAAATTTATTTGAAATTTACAATACTATGAATTCAAAATCACTGTTTTACATTCTCATTTAAATATCTTGAGTATAAACGTAGATAATGAGGCACGATGTAACGACGAGCTTGAGTGACATCAGGGTACCCTGTGAACTGGAAGATGTTACAACGCCTGATCACTGTTACCGCAAAGTCGGATATTCTCGACGGCGACAATACATTGACTGTCCTACATTATGCCCATCATTATGCAATCTTGGCGTCGCTCAAATTCAAACGGAATCGAGAAAGATGTCCGTTGTGGAAAGTCAAGTGAGTCGGATTTGACAAGATTTCTTATTAGCACATTACTTGTATAGGATGGATGTTTCTGACATCGCAACATTGTATCTCAATTTTCTTTAATGATTTACAATTAGTAAAAAAATGATTTACAATTAATATTCTATACACCCTTTAAATGCAACAAAATTTTTAATTATAAAACAATTTACGCTAAACATAATGTAAGTAGTATTCAAACACACACACACACACACACACACACACACACACACACACGCACACGCACGCACGCATTCAATGAATTTGAGTCGAGTATATTGGATATTGGATAAATTATTTAAATCTCTTTTCTTTAAAATTCTCATTATTCGCGTGTCCATAAATTTGCTACTTTAAATATAATAAATGTATATATGAATGTTATTCATATATATTTATTATATTTAAGACAAATTATTTCACAATTAAAAAAATTTTGCATTTATCTTTATCTAAAAAGATGTAAAGAATGATTCAGTGTTTTATTAATTATGAATCATCGAAGAAAGTAAAAAAGAAATAGCTGTTGGGATATCAAAAATATCCTACTTTGTATTTTATAATTGTGCAACTTTGTATTTTTTATGACTTGTCGAAAAGATGTATCACTTTTATCGGTTACTTTGTTGTTTCTTAAATTTCTATGCGCGTTTTCGAACAAGATCAGACTCCGAGTGCAAACATGAAGGAAACACCGATACAAACATTGAGCAAATGCGATCTCTGTCGTCAACACATACAGCTTCCCGTAGAAACTCCTCCTGTGTCCAATATGCATTGTTTCCAACATCCACAATGGAGTTATCCTGCTATCGTGCAGTTTCTTCGTGGAGAGGTCAGCGCGCCGTGTTGCTCTGGGTAATTTGCTAGCTTTTATATCTAGGAAATCTCTTAGAAAATGACACGTTTTTTCTTCTCTTGCAGATGCAAATGCATACCGGATAATGCACAGATGCAACAACAATCACAGCAAATAATGTACAATAATAATATGAGACCACTGATATCAAAAGTAAAATCTAATTCTCATAAAATGATGAATGACGCAATACAGCAGGTTACAAGTAAATCTAATATCATATAAAATTGTGTCAAATTCTTCTATTGTTCAGCATTATAGATTAATCAAAGTTGTTACTTTAAAAGGCGCAATAGGCCGATTTTTTTAATATTTAGATTTTTAGACAAGAGGAGGAGGCGTCATGTAATATTTTTCTTTTCGAATTCTGCAATTTAATTTTAGGTTGAAGTGAGCTCGTTTTCAGTTTACTTCATGTTTTGGCTCATAATAGTTATGGAAATATAATTTTTATAAGCTCCTATTATGTATTTGAAAAAAACACATTTGTCACTATGTGCTCCAGTTTGGGATATATAGTACGTGATAACCAAGGGAGCAGATAGTGTTACTTTCAAAATATTCCATTAAATTCCATTTCCCTTCTTCTTTCTTTATTACCTTCTTTTACTTCATTTCAGAAAATAACATATAATCTATAAAACTTTTATGAAAATATTTAAAAATGAATTAAATGAATTAAAATTTAAATTTATAAAATTAAATTTGAATTCAATGAAACTTCTTTCATATAGCAGAAGTATTTGATATGAATTTTTCAATTAGTATAACAATAAAGCAATTTAAAAAGGAGAAATTTTCTGACTGAGTTTCGCGCGATAACGCATGACATCGATTATTATTTATGAATAATTCTCATTTATAGATATTGAAAGCAGAAACAATATTATAAGAACAACGCAACCAACTCCCACATATATTGCTTCAGTTTGTGGACCGGACAAAAAAATGCAGATCGAATTGGATATCGAGTATGTATGGATGTGTGTGCGTGCGTCGTGCGTGTCATAAAATAAAACAATTCTTTAAAAACGATTATTCCGTCCAAAAATTCTGTTACCTCTTTTAGATAATATGTAAAGGAAGTTGAGTTATTTTTCGCGGCGGTATTTAATTTAAAATAATTGAATAATAATAACACATATTTTAAAATAATTAAAATAACAGAATTGAATCTAAAATTGGTAAATATTAAGCAAAAAAGAGAAAAAATTCGTGGCGTTTTTCCCGTTAGATGTAACGAACTTTTTCCCACACCTAATATATCGAACAAGGGATCCGCTTCGACAACCTTGACGCATATTTTCAAGGTCACGACCCTCTAACAAGTTTTACTCCGTCAGTCCTTATCCGTTAAAAAGTTATTAATAAAAAAGTTTAAGAAATATTTATTTATTTCTGCTATATACAATGTTAAGAACTATCCCAAATCCTTCTCTCCTTGCATGATTTTCCGTTCTAGCTACAAACAAAAAGTGTCTACAACAGAGATTAAAAAAGTCAAGGGAGAGGAGAAAGATCAGAAAATTGCGAAAATTAAAGACTCCGATATAATCGAAAAGATAATCATAGGGCATGAAAACGTAAAAGAAAGAAAGAAGGACAGCAAGGAAAGATGCGAAGAAAAGAAAACAATCGAAGAAAATAAGATCAAAAGGAGTAAGGGAGGAGGAGAACATAGTCCTAGAATTTATCAAGAGTTTAAGGATGTAATGGAACAAGAAAACATAACAAACTTAAAGGAATCGTCGATACATACGTAGGTGTTATTTTATATAAAGCGATATGTTAATTGATTCAATTATGCATTTCGTACAGTTTCATGCATAGCGAAATCGACCGTCGTTGCGAATGATGAAATAAATAATTCAATATACGGGAAATAATCATTTTAGGAGCAGAATTTTAAGCACGCCGTTAAGTAGTAGAATGAAACCTCGAACGTTGTTACATTTAAAATCAAATAAAGTGGATCCAATTACAGACGTGTAAGCAACGAAAAATTCTCACAAATGCGACAAACTGAGACTACATGAAAAGAACGATTTTGTTAAAGTATCTAAAAATTTAATTAGAGTTGAAAATAATTCTATTGAATCAATAAAAATAACGATATAAAACGCTTAACATTAAAAATATCAACGTTTTTTATTCGTTAAATGGATAAGGTGGTGGATCAAGTGGATAATTATGAAAATAAAGAAAATGATACAAAAATATTTTATAGTATAAAGGAAATAATTATTGTGAAAAGAGAGCAACAAAATGTCAAATTCTATTTTGTATACAAAAAACGTAATTAAGTAATCTAACAAATAGAAATAATCAATGGTTGCATTTAGTAGAGAAAACAATTTTGCAAATGTCGTGGAATTCTTTAATATGTGTTCATTTATATATTTAGATACAGTAAGTGAATGAGAAATTAAGAGCAAGACCAGTCATATTTAAGAATTTTACAGTGCGAAGTTGCTTTCTCTGCTAAACACAGCCAATAATAACCGATAATTTTAATATTAAATCTTGATGATAATACTGTGAAAAATTTTAACAACCTGGCAATCAGTTTGAGCATCCTACAAAATTATTTTGATGATTAAAACAAGATTATATTCAAGTCTGTATCTAGTTAATTTTTTAAATATTTCGTACATGGAAAAATCGTTCTTTCCGTGTACAATGTTGACGCAATAATTAAGAACTTTGCTTGTCACTTAGAAATGTATTCGTGATAAATGAGGACTGCATCCCCGAAAAGATGGCATCCAGGACGATACTTGATAATCAGAGTCAATCATTTCATAGTCAAGAAGTATAAAAACTGTTCTTAAGCTATCAAGAGTTGGAAAGTAAACTCTAATTATGCGTTGAATCTTTATTCCTATTCTAGAGCGAGCATTCAGCAAAGATTGGAACGCCGAATTCTATAATTGAACGTCAGTCGAACGCTGCTTGTTTGCTCTACAAGCGACAGAAGGTGATTTCAAAGCGACTATTCTCATTATTCTGAAAATTAAAAAATTTGGAAATTTCTCAAGTTCTTGATTTGTACTGTCTCAACCGTGTGCTTTTCAGAGTTTAACGCCAACTTCGGACAATTCAAGATACTATATCGTCTTTAAGGATAAAAAGGGAAGATACTTCTGTGAATTTTGCGCACCGCCGGAAACTAAAAAGGTAAACGATCCATTCCCATTACGACTAAACACGCATCACTCATTTGCTGCAACACAACTCAAGAAACAAAATTTTCAAAATTTAGAAAATAAATTCGAACATTTTGAACATAAAAATTTTGTAATTTCATTAATTTTTAAATGCAATTTTGATGTAATAACTGATTATGAAAGAATAAAATGTACGTATGTTTTTTCTTTATGTTTCGATTCTTTTTTCCACAAATAATTAAAAAATAATAATTAAATTGTATTATTATTGTAGTAGTAAAAGAACAATATACATACGCGCATATTAATTGCATGCTATAAATTTATCGTTTCAATTTTTGAAAAAAAAATTATTCTGTAACTTGTTTTTTTTCGATTGAAAAAACTTGGTATCCACTTTGATCAATAAAACTATATTTTGGAAGAAGAAATGAATTTTATTCAATTAAATTGATTCATTATTAATGCAAAATATTTAATATCTCAGATAACAAGCAGATTCGAAGGCACGGACTTAAGAAAGTTACGATGTGCCAGTTGTCGATTGCATTTTCGTGATCGAGGAATCAGAACTGTAAGTATTTGAATAATGATACGTAAAAGATTATTGAAGCTCTGTCCAATGAAAGAAATGTTAGGAATAAAGAGAATTAGAGAAACAAAGCAAATTAGAAATAGAAATTAAATATAACGCGCAAAAAAGGTACAAATAAAAAATATAAAATATATCGAATCTTATTTATATTCTTATTTATTGTTATATTTAATTCCTATTTTTTTTATTTAATATTTATTTAATATTTATTCCTATTTCTTCCATTGCGCGCAGGCCTTCCATTGCGCCTCAGCTGATGAAAAGTTATTTCTATTCGCAGAAATCAGATACCTGTCCAAGATACACTCGATTGCAAAAGCACATGGCTTCTCCCTCCACCACGTAAACAACAATCACAATTACATATCTCGCGTCGATAAAACCGCACATTGTGACCGAAAACGTCGATCGTGATTACTTCGTTAAAAATATTTATTCCTTACAATAATAGTCATTAGAAATAGCGATTAAGGAACTTAAAAGTATATTTGTCTTCGCGCGGACATGCTGAGAAGAAATAAGCAACGCTGATCGCGTTGTTGATTATTATTAGCTGTAACTTAACACTATGGTGTAAGATAACACTATCGAAAGAACATGATTCGTACTTCTTTGCGACATTCCTCGAAACATGATATAAAGTGCGGGATGCACAGCCAGCGGTGGGATGCGCGTCACTTGTAATCTGCTGTAACATCATTAATGTAACGCTGGCTTAATGTCGATTTTATCTTTATCTTTCATTTTCAGTCTTGTATTCTTAAAATATAGCATGATTTCTCGGAAATGAGGTTTGGTTTAAGGTTCCTGACTAGCCGCCGCGATCATATTGGATCGTGACGTGATAAAAAAATGACACGTTGAAGTTTCTTGCTTGCCACTTATGAATAAAGAGAATTTTATTAAAATAATAATGAGACATGAGGATAGTCCATTTTTATAAATGTTTTAAAGCATCTTATTATTTTTTCCGAAGCCATTCTTATCTTCCCTATAGTCAATAAATAGTTGTAAAAGACAAGTGAAGTGAAAATAGGCATAATACATTTTTATGCCTATTTTCACTTTCATGCCCCTTATGACTATTTACTAATTGGAAGGAGAATAAAAGTGGATGGATCTAGCGTTTTGAAGTGATTTGAAGTGATTATTTTATCAAAATTTTCTTTGCTTACAAATGACATGCAAGAAGTTTCAACATATTATTTCTCTGTAATCATTCACCGTGATCCAATATGATTGTAGTGACTTAATCAGAAGCCTTAATTTCTAGCGAATCTCGAAGTTCTCTCACTCCGAGTACTGACAATAACAAAAAATATAACGATAAAAAATCTGAGACCCGAAAACTGCGTTCAGAAAATATACGGGTAGTTCATCATGCATTTATATAAAATAAATATAGTAAATATGTCAGCGCGAGACTTAATCTAATGTAAATCTGCAATCTATGCAAATGAATCGCTATTACATAGATCGTTAAAAAATAATTAGATGCCAACGATTATGCGCGATTTAAAAAAATGGTAACATCACATTTACCAATAAAATGCTACAAAATAAAAATAATCGCGAGTTACATTTAAGCTATAAATTGAAAAAATTGCGAAGAACTTAGCAACGCTTAAATGCTTACATTAAAAAAAAAAAAAAAAAAAATTTGTTTGTACTACTTGTGCGAATCATTCTCTTTGGCAGCAACGTCAATAATTAAAAACAAAAATTATACCTTAATAATTATCCCATTAGAGCACACGAAATAAACGTAAAAACGCCGCCGTTCTATAAAATCTACATAAAATGTAAAGAAAAAACAAAAGGAAGAGAAAAAAGGAAGAATCATAACTGAGCGTGAGCAGCTTCTTGCTTCAAGATCGGTCTGGGCCGTTTCTCGGTGCCGTTTGCCATGAGCGGACCGAAACAAGTTGTCACATTTTCCGCAGCCGGACAAATCGGTGTAAAATTCACAACAAGATTCGGCGCGTAATTCTTAACGTAGCATGACGTAGCGATGTTGGTTGTACGCGATATCGCGTTGCTATTTCCTGATTTCATCAGGATTCCACCGTGCCAGAATTCATAGTCGAATTTCTTGCTGATGGGACCTGGATCCGTAATCGATCTTCGCATACCGATCTGTTCGTTACATTGGTACGATCGACAATCACAGTTATGAGTGTGACGAGTGACGGCCGAGGATTGCGGATAAGCTGCAATGTCCTTCGAATAGAGATAAGCTGGCTGCTGCAGCAGCACATAACATGCCGGATAATTTTCATCATGGACAGCGGCGATTTGTCGAGTCTGATCAACCATCTTGCTAGTAGAGAAACTGGGTTGGCAATTCGAAACACCGGAATCGTTTGAGCATTGATATCCGTTAAACAAGGAAGGCGACAGATATTTCGGGTCGTTCTTCCAATCGTGCGAATTGCTCGGAAATTTGTCCAGCAAATCGTAAGTCAATGGACTGTCGGGACTTGTGGACGAGTTAGGTAATGTGGGCATCAGATTAGAACTCCACATATCAAAGTTGGGAAAACTATTCGCCTCTTTTTTTCGTTGCATCTTGTCCTGGAAGTAATGTTTGTTCGATGGCTGTACGTTATCATTGATATCTGTGAGCACCATCTGCTTCTCGTCCTTGTCCTGCAAAGTATCATTCATGTCCGATATGGCTAGCATAGTAGAATAACGAGTGGCGTTACAGTTGTGATTGGTGGGTTTAATGATCGATGGATTAACTTGGCCATTCGGTGGGCAGATTGGCAAAATCTTTTTCCGGCCGCGATTTGAAAGAAGAGAAGATTCGTTTTGTATCGGTGAAACTGACGAGGACGTAGTCTTCTTGGATTGCAGATATTTCCGGGTAATCTGTACGTCACCTTTATCGTCAACACTGCCACGATCTTCATACTGGCAATATAGAAATGCGATTTATATGAAGGAAGAAATATTGCTAAATATTGCTAAAGCGGAAGTAAAGATTTGATTGCACCGATTCTTTGATCGACTAACATTAAGATTCCTGTTAGCTTATCACTACAATCTTAGATTATGACATTAGAAGCAAGAAAATAATAAAAATTCTGGCAAAAAGATTATATTTGAATAGAAATATTTGCAATAGAATGGATTTATAAAATATATCAAAAATTCTTCTTATTTCGAGGAGATATTAAATTGTTTTTGATTTTTTTTTATGCACCATTCATTTCCAAATTATTTATTAATCAATGAAATAAAAGGAAAGTTTTCAATATATTTTATAAATTAATTCAATATCAACTATATAAATGATGTGTTCTATAGAAACGTATTTCTATATTAATATATTTTGCAAAAATTTTCACTTATATAATTTTTCGCTTCTGAAATCATAATTTGAAATAGTATAGCGAAGAATGAATAGGATCTTTTCTTAATAATCTTATCTTAATATAAAAATTATTATAATAATAATAGTAAAGTAATATCATATTGGAATATGCTTTATTGTTTCATAATCAATGGAGATTCGTATATGTCCAATGATTTGATTTCATTGAATTTTCTGCAATTTTTGCAGTTCGATATTCAAATATGTACGATATCGAAATATGTACTTATTAACATATCATTGAAGCATATAATTGTATTCTTTTTATAATCAAGATGGTATTTTAAATTATCTTTGCAAACGTTAAGATAATCATGTTTTCGAAACATATGGCGTCAATAGATAAGATGTGTGGCAATATAAGACGTTAAAAATAATTTCGTAATCTTCTCGAGCTTATTCCTATACTTGTATGTCAAAAACCAAATTTTTTCATTCAAAAATATTCTCACGTGAAAAAATATTCTCCTGTATCCATAAAATCTATACGAGTTTTGGAAGCAAGTAATATAATATATTATATTTGTCTTTCATAAAACGCAGCGTGATGTATCGGAGCACGGTAAATATCCTGTTTATCAAAGCCATCACTTGAACTTGATATGTTGTACATTCAAGATCATGACCCTGAATGAATTGAAGTCTGTAGGCACCTATCATAAGACAAGCCAGAATGAATTCGTATCATGAAACAAGTTAGGATGGATTCCAATTGAAATTATTTCATTTTTCTTAGAAAACACAATCAAAATCTAAAAAATAATTGAATAATTTTGATCGAAATCTATTCCAAATAATTCCATACATATCCAGATTCTAAATTTCAATTGGCTGCGTAAATCGTCATTTAATCTTCGGTAACGCTCGGGTTATCATTATGTCATTTTTTTCTTAGTTAGAAAATACTCTACGAGACTATAATAATCTTGTTGTAAGATTCCTGGTTTAGTAAAACAGTGATAGATATCCTGATAAAAAAGAACAATATTAGACTATTTTTAAATCAAAAGCGAAACATAAGTTAATCATTGGAGACTGCGGAATCCTCTAGAGACAGAAAATAAAAATTATGGTAATTACACATACAGTATAAGGGATATAGTCCTAATGACTTTGATCTTGATATATGTTGTCAAGATCATGATCTTGAATGACTTTCAACAGGTTTTAACAGTCGCTCATTATTTATGAAAACATTATTAGCAAAAAAGTTTAAGAAATAACATTTTATTTCTTCCACATGCAATATTAAAAACTATCTTACATTTTAGGGAGGTATGAAGAAAGTATCTAGAAATAAGACAATATTTTTTAAACTTCTTTTATGCATAACTCTTTAATGAATAACAAGAGTCAGCTAAAACCTATCGGAAGTCACTCAGTATTTGTTCATTAAAAAATTTTTGAAGTTTTACAATTTTTTAGAAAAGTTCTCAGATTTTTAAACATTCTGAAAAATTATATGAAAAATTTTGGGGAAAATTTTCACCAAGACAATGACTCGTATCATTATAACGCGGAATGTAATTATTAATAAGAAAATTTTTTGGACGTACTTTTCCACAATAACGCGTGTTATCAAAGAAAAAAGAGGAAAAAGAGTTTACTTGCAAATATACGTTAAATCTAGTTATTCTGTCCGAACAATGTTAACAATACAGACAGGTAAGTAGCAGTTTACTCTTACCGTTCGGGAGCACATACCATTTCAGCTTTGGCCAGATAAATCCAAAGCTTGCGCCATGTGCTGAACTTGTTCTGATCACTGAAATTGTATCGCATTTCCTTCGAAGCATATCGAGTCGACAACGGGCTACGATAATCGCAATAATCGTTATTCGGCACTTTTGAGACACTCATGGTTAATCGAGAAAGAGAAAGAGAGATTCAGAACGAAAAGAACTGTCTAACGCGACCGTGTGAATGGAACTACATGCGATCAGCTGATACCGCCGGTGCTGTTCTATTTATGGGCCACACATCTAGCTCTCTAGATTGATTAAAACGAAAAACTGCGTACTAGCGCCACGTCTTGGACAATACATGGACTACTTCAAGCCGCTTAGCACTCTACCGATGATTCAGAATGAATGCAGATTCAGACGAATCGAAGAAAAACTTAAGAGTGCATGGTTATCTCGGCCTTTTTTTGTGTACATATATCAAATCTCGTAAGATAATGTCCAAGAACGAATAATCAACTCTAATTGTTCGCCCTTGTCTAACCCGATCATGTAATAGCATGGAAGAGAAAAAATGGTTTTAACTTGAAGTATCTTACTATTGGTAAAAATTCTCTTATTAGTTTTAATTAAGGAAATAACAATAATATACGCACATTCCAATATGACAATGTTCAATAAAATAAAAAATGTGATTCGATAAATCTTATAATTATTATCTTTTTTCGTGATTATTTTTCTATCTTAAATTAAAGCAGTGAAAATAATTTGTCACAAATCATTATAATTAAAAAAAATTAAAAGAAACCACTGATATTTGAACATTTCCGTACGTAAATTTAACTCTAGCTATACACATTGAGATCCCAGAAACCCCAACGCAATTTGCTAAATGGAGATTTTTTCGTGTTTCTAAACTTTTCTTTTTCTTTGAATTTATATATCTCGAAGCTTCTTAATTCTATCGACTTTTACACATTATGTTTTTTAATCAATTCTCCAACAAT